CATACATACAAACAGAATGAGATAGATAGATAGATAGATAGATAGATAGATACGAACAAAATATAGATAGATAAATAGCCCCAGATTTTTTTTATATATATATATATATATATATATATATATATATATATATATATATATATATTAACAGAATAAGATAAATCGATCAATAGATAGAATATATAAATACATACATACAAACAGAATGAGATAGATAGATACATACATACATACAAACAGAATGAGATAGATAGATAGATAGATAGATAGATAGATAGATAGATAGATAGATAATGCTTTTTACTATAAAATTGATGCGAGTGGGCAACTTAAAGAAATGTTTTGTCATGGAAACGATGCTATTACCATGGCAACAACAGAACCTGCCGCCTAGCAAAACAACCCACAGTGAAATCGAACAACTTTTCAAAACAACACAATTTTCAATCTACGCGAAGGTCGATCATATAAGTCTTCTGGAATCGATTGTTCGATCTTTTCGACGAACTCGTCATGTGAGCTAATCGATTCGATTATCATTTCAATCTTAATCTAAAATTAAATTATCATCTCAGTCTCTGACGGTAAACAGGTTTCTGCTTGACCAGCCTACATGCGGCCATAGAAATCTTTAATATATCGAGATGCTGAAAAAGTTATCAGCGCCATCGCCTAACTTCGAAAAAAAATCAATATGTAATTCTTCAAACATCAGAAATTCTTTTTAGAAAGGAAAGATGTGCCTCTGTTTCATGGTTATGAAGTGGATATTTTCAATAGCTTATAAGTTTCTTGGCATTTTGTTATTCATCCCGAACTGACCAGGGAAAAAATTAGTAGCAATCAAAATTACTACTGTAATTCTAGACAAACTTAAAATTCTCTTGTCGGAGTTAGCTCCTCCTTACTTCCCTAATTGTTCACTAGGGGTCGCTCTCTCTACACTATAAATACAGGGCAACTTCTTGTCTCGATCTCTTTTTTACTTTCGGGCAGTGAGGAACTCGTACGAGGCTCTTCCGAAGGGCACAGTCTCGTTCAGGGTGGTTGACTTGCCCCTGAAACCGTTTATGTGGATTTCAAAGAGGGAATATTTTTGGCCGAGCCTACGGGCTCGGAAATCCCACGTTAAACCCGGCCTTGTGCCACATGTAACCCTCGTGGGTGGGGGGGTCGCTAAATATCTCTTTTTTACTTTGTATTTCAGCGAACACATTTAAAAATGTAATCTCTCTTAGAAAACGCCATGAAACACATATACACGTACGTACGAACATTCACCAAAATACAAACTCTTTACGTTCACACACAAACACAAATGTTAATATCTTTGTTACTTGTAAATTTTTTGTTTAATGCATATATTTGTTGACATGTATACATCGGTCTTCTTTGTTTTCATTACATCTTCGATTGGACACAATTTGAGTCCGCCATTTTCTTGTAGTAGGACCTTCTATAAAGAACAAACAGCACGTTTTTATAATTCAACAATTCGCAAACCCACACTGTCCTCTACACTGTTACCGCAAAAATAAATAAATAAAACAGTGAGTCAAAGACACAGTTGTCGTCCTTGACATGACGATGAATGTTTATCGTTTTCAAAAAGTGATTATAATCTTAATGAAAACTAAAGATATATAAGTAAATTTATATATTTTCTTTGTTCTTAAGAATTTACAACAAAACTATAACACTATTTATTTAATATAGCGTTTATTTACAATATTTATTGATCATATTGTTTATTGAAATGTCTGGTAAAATATCGATTAATTGGCAATATATTCGAACTTTAAAAAAACGATAAATAAATAGGATTTTCTTTTATTTTTTCACATATTCTAAAAATTTAGTAAATTTTTGTAAATTTATGAATGAGAAATTGTGTTTGTGGTTAGAATGTTGCAATATGAGGCACGGTGGAGTAATGGATAGCGGCTCCGATTCAGGAATCGGAGAGTCGAGTTCAATTTTCAGTCGAATCCATTATATGCATTTACGTGCCAATACCCTTGGGAAAGTTATGAATCCTATTTTCTCCCCCAGCTATGGATAAATAGCAAGACTGATCGGGTTTTATAGCCTTGGATGACAACTGGTCAAACGCAAAAACAAATGGCAACCTGCTGCGGAAATAAAATCTGCCTTATTAGTCATGTATCGAAAGATACATGATCGCCTAAGCGTGTATCATGCATGGCATATAACTGTCTGACCGACGTGCTAATACCCTTGGGAAAGGTATGAATCCTCTTCTCCTCCCCAGCTATGGATAAATAGCAGGACAGACTGTGTTCTACAGCCTTGGATGGCAACTGGTCAACCGCGGAAAGAAATAGCATCCTACTGCGGGAAAAAAAAAACATCGGCTTATAAACTTCAATCTTCCATGAATCTCGTACATTCATAACTGCTCTGGCGTATCAAATGTAAACAAATGACGTCATATATTAAGAAATGGACAAAGTCCGACAATTTCTTATAAACAGAGCATTTAATTAAATACTTGTATCTATAAAAAAGGACGTTAAACATAAAAATGTCTTTAATAAATAAATTGTCGGACTTTGTCCATTTCTTAATATATGACGTCATTTGTTTACATTTGATACGCCAGAGCAGTTATGAATGTACGAGATTCATAGAAGATTGATGTTTATAAGCAGTAAATTCGACCTTGCCTACCGAACGCCCCTTTGTGGCCGAGTCGGTTAAGGCACGTCAGCGTAAATGACGGTTCCGTATAGGATGCAGGTTCGAATTCTATCAAAGGACGAATATTTTCTATGAAAATTTCTCGCACATTCAGGCCAGTAAATGTTATTTAATACTGTTTATTATAAACAGAGCATTTACTTAAATACTTGTATCTATAAAAAAGAACGTTAAACATAAAAATATATATAATAGATTACTCTGTCTCATAGCATAGAGCTATGCATGTCCTTTTGGAAAATCCATATGGATTACCATTGTCTATTATTTTTTTTTTCTATTTTTATATATATATATATATATATATATATATATATATATATATATATATATATATATATATATATATATATATATATATATATATATATATATATATATATATATATATAGCGGGAATAAACTGAGAAAGAATAATTGAACAAACTGATTGCTACGTAGCTTACATACTTTATTTTTAATCATTTAACCCAAGCAAGATGGGAATGCCACCAATACACAGGGGCAGGGGGTAACAAAGGGTGACAGTCAGAGAAAAGACTGAGTACAGTGGGGGGGTGTACAGAGGAAAATGATAAAAGCTGAATGGGGTTTAAGACAACAGAAGATGACGTTTGACGTTGCATTTAAATTTTGGATAATTGTAGATTTTAGGGAAGGAAGTAAGCGGAACGGAGTTTCACAGGCAGGAAATTCAAGAAAAGAATCTTTTGGAGTAGAAGTTCCGGTTACATTTAAGTGTTTCAACAGTAAAATGGTTGGACCTAGATGCCAATCTATTAACAAACTTAAATTCACGTAATCGAGGCAACAGGTGAAAAAGGTCGTCAGAACAGTTGTCATGAAAATATTTGTAGAAAAGACAGAGGGATGCCACATCCCGTAGTTGAGAAAGGGATTGAAGTAGAGATGCCGGGTCAGGATCAATTATATTGCAAATACTTCTTTGGATTTTGTCAAGAACCTCAAGATGAATAGCAGGAGCATATTCAATGTTCGGACGAATGGCAAGATGTACACTCGATAGATAGATAGTATCAATATACTGCGTTAGATAGATAGATAGATAGATAGATAGATAGATAGATAGATAGAAAGAGACTTCGATAGATAGATAGAGAGAGAAGGAGATAATATCAAGAGACTGCGATAGATAGATAGATAGATAGATAGATAGATAGATAGATAGACTGCGATCGATTGACCTTTCGATAGGTCAATCGATAGATAGAAAGAGACTTCAATAGATAGATAGAGAGAGATAGATAAGATAGATAGATAGATAGATAGATAGATAGATAGATAGATAAGACACTGCGAACGATTGACCTATCGATAGGTAAATCGATAGATAGAAAGAGACTTCAATAGATAGATAGAGAGAGGAGATAATATCAAACGACTGAGATAGATAGATAGATAGATAGATAGATAGATAGATAGATAGATAAGACACTGCGACCGATTGACCTATCGATAGGTAAATCGATAGATAGAAAGAGACTTCGATAGATAGATAGAGAGAGAAGGAGATAATATCAAGCGACTGCGATAGATAGATAGATAGATAGATAGATAGATAGAAGATAGATAGATAGATAATATAAAGATACTGTGATAGAGAGATGGACATCAAGAACACTGCGATCGATTGATCGATCGATAGATAGATATCAAGGGACTGAGATAGATAGATCGATAAATAGATAGATGATAAGAGACTGCGATCGATCGATAGATAAATAGATAGATACCAAGAGGCTTCGATAGATACATAGACAGAGAGAGTGAGAGAGGGAGAGAGAGAGAATATCAAGATAGATTGATAGACAGACAGATAATAAAAATGAGATAGATAGATAGGTAGATAGATAGATATCAAGACGTTGCGATAGGTCGATCGATAGATACATAAACTTAAGAGACTCCGATCCTTCGACCGATCGATAGGTAGGTAGATAGATATCAAGAGATTGCGATAGATAGATAGATAGATGGTTATATATATATATATATATATATATATATATATATATATATATATATATATATATATATATATATACTAAATATAAACTGCGTGCCAAATTATTATCGAGATAACTTTTTTTCTAATATTTCAAAAACAATCGAATCAATTCACACACCGCACTGATAACAAATATGGCGCCAGTTTGTTTACATCGCGCAAATCATTAGGAAAATTTCAGTGATTGCGCAGGTCAGTGTTGCCAACATTGTGTGAAAATTTTGTGTGAATTGATTCGACGGTTTTTGAAATATTAGGAAAATAATTATCTCGATAATAATATGGCACGCACTCTCTCTCTCTCTATATATATATATATATATATATATGTGTGTGTGTGTGTGTGTGTGTGAAAATATATAGAAAATAGGAAAGAACTGGTTAGGTAGATCCAAAGTTCCTTAGTATTTTAGTTATTATTTTAAAAAAATAGTGCTCGATACAATTTAAATCAAATAATTATATTGAAGTTTTCGGCTCTTGTTTTGAAATATGAGAACTCTTATGTAGCGTGTTGGAATCATATTTTTTAAATAAATAATTATATATATATATATATATATATATATATATAGAGAGAGAGAGAGAGAGAGAATGAGAGAGTGAGAGAGTGAGAGATTTTAGCATGAACATATAATGAGATTATTGATATTTATTGACAGACAGAAATCGAGAGAGAGAGAGAGTGGGGGGGGGGATGCTGGCGTTGATAATATATATATATATATATATATATATATATATATAGAGAGAGAGAGAGAGATTTTAGCATGAACATATAATGAGATTATTGATATTTATTGACAGACAGAAATCGAGAGAGAGAGAGAGGGGGAGCGAGGATGCTGGCTTTGATATATATATATATATATATATATATATATATATATATATATATATATATATATATATATATATATGGCCTTGATAATAAGACAAGAACACAAAATCGGGAAGGTCATAAAAACATCAAGCAAACATCTTTCAATTTTTTAATATTTTTTTTTTTTTTTTTTTTTTTTGCCGTGCACACTATTCTAGACGGCAAAGTTAATTCGCCTAAGCAGAGTGCCAAAAGGCTACGGCTAATAAACTCTGAGAATAATCGAAACAAGAAATCTGACATAACTAAAAGTAAAACTAAATGTACCGAGGAAACTGCCATTAAATTTCTTCCCTTGGTAGATATTTGTAATTTATAGCCGGACCCGATGGCAAATATTCTCTAAATATTGGTTCGGGTGTCAGATACGTGAAATTCACTTCCCATAAAGATCAATGTGGCTGCCTTTTTCTCTCTTGTTTTCCTTACCCTCTACCAATTTCGTTTTAAGCAACAATTTCTTACTTTACTGTCATTATTACGGGAGCAGTGAGGTTTTTGATTTCCTTTATTTAATCCTACAAAGAGTTTCAAAGCATCGATATTAATAATAAATATATGTAGTATCAATGGAAGCGGTAGTCTGTTTAATAGTCAAAATAGTAACGTCCATGATTACACGAGGTCAGTGTTCGAATCTAGTTATTCGGAAAATGATTTGAGAATCAAATTTTATTTTTGAATGATGTATTTAAACAGTGTTGATATCAGTCAAAATAGGAATCATGAAGATCTATGCATTTCTACCATCAAGTTGGGAGTTTATTTATCCATTTACGATATTTTAGAATCAACTTTAATTCTGAAGTAATGTATTTAAACTGTATTTATATCAGACAAAATAGAAACCCTGAACATCTATACATTTCTGCCATCAAATTGCAAGATGTTTATCCATTTACGGTATTTTAGAATCTACTTTAATTCTAAATTAATTTATTTAAACAGTGTTTAAATCATTCAAATTAGAAACCCTGAACATCTATACATTTCTGCCATCAAGCTACAAGGTTATTTATCCGTTTACGATATTTTAGAATCAACTTCAATTCTGAAGTAATGTATTTAAAAACATTTATATTTAGTAAAAATGGAAATCATGAATATCTATACATTCGGTCATCTAGCTGTAAGGTTATTCATGCCTTTACGATATTTTTAAAAGCAACTTTTATTCCTGAATTAATGTATTTAAACCGCGTTTAATTTAGTCAAAATAGGAAGGCTGAACATCTATGAATTTCTGTCATCTTTTGAAACGTTTATTTACGCCTTTACGATACAGTTCTATGCGTTTGGACGTCAAGAAATATTTGAATGCAGTTTGTGTACATTCTTTATTTTTCGGCTTCTTAAAATATTGACAAGATGCTTTAAAAAATGGTAGTCATTGGGTACGCGATCAGGCAATATATGGTGGGTGTGGCAAAGTTTTCTTATTCCAAGTCGATGAAATTCTGGGCAGTCATCCAGGCAACGACAGTCCGAGAATTTCCAGGAAGTGGAATTGGATAATACTATAGGAAAATATATTTACGTATAAATATAATTCTTCCGCAGGTGTTATAAATACAGTGCTCAATATTATGAGACAGAGTTGTAATTATATATTACAAGTATATATTAGTATTAAAAGTATATATTAGTATAATATATATATATATATATATATATATATATATATATACATATATTACATGCATATATATATATATATATATATATATAGATATTACATTATATATATATATATATATATATATATATATTACAGAATTACATGCATATATATATATATATATATATATATATACATTCTGTAATATATATATATATATATATATATATATTACATATAATTATGCATATATATATATATATATATATATATATATATATACAGAATTACATATATATATATATATATATATACAGAATTACAATCATATATATATATATATATATATATATATATATATATATATACATAATTTCAGGCATATATATATATATATATATATATATATATTATAGAATTACAGGCATATATTTTGTATACATTAGAGAATTACATCATATATATATATATATATATATATATATATAATTTAAAATTACATGCATATATATAAACATATATATATATTACAGAATTACATGCATATATATATATATATATATATATATATATATATTATATATACATATTACAGAATATATATATATGCATGCAATTCTATAATATATATATATATATATATATATATATATATATATATATATTATATATTAACGAGTCTAGAACAAACCTCAACGGAATGCAGAGAGTGTCCTGGACGACCGTTTAGTGTTATGATGTCATTAGTTTCTCTTTTCATCTCACTACCATAAAACACCGATACACCATAAATAAAACCAAAATTAATCAGTTTATCTGACGATCGCAGAGAGCGTGAAACCCAGAGTCACAAACGCACAGCAATCCAACTATGTATATATATATATATATATATATATATATATATATATATATATATATATATATATATATATATATGAAAGGAGGATATGAGATACTTATAATTAAGTAATTCATCGAGTCTAGAAGAAACCTGAACAGAATGCAGTAAGCACTGGTCGACCGTTTCGTTCTATACCTGGAACTCATCAGCATTGCGCATCCACTACCGAGAATTGAAACCAGTTCACTTTTATATTTATATTTACATACACTCTATCTATGATATTGAGCACTTTAACCCATAAATATAACAGACTTTAAAACTATACTTCTGCATATATATATATATATATATATATATATATATATATATATATATATATATATATATATATATATATATATATATATATATATATATACAGTGAACATAGACGTCAACACATGCTTGATGCAATCTTCAAACCTGAGGATTGCATCTAGTATGAAACACACTGTCGCCTCTAAGTGTTGACTTCTATCTTCACTTTTATATTTACACACGCACTATCTCTGATATTGAGCACTTTATCCCATAAATATAGCACACCTTAAGACTATATTTCTTCATATATATATATATATATATATATATATATATATATATATAAATGCAGGTAAGATGTGAACGAATACATTACAATTCCAACGTCCATACGTTTAATTTAAAAGAGTGCGCAATACAGAGTAGAGCAATATTATTTATTTTAGGATATTAAAACAATAAGTAAAAATCGCTACACAATTGAATTCGTCTACTGACGCATACCAATGCATCTCCTCAGACGAGTGTGATTTAAAATTGTAAAAAAAAGGTATAAGTCTTGAGAGCTTTACTCTAATCAACCAATCAATTATGAACTACGTTCGAATTAAATCTGACCTATGTTTGAATCGAACGTAGTTCATATTTGATTGGCTAATCACGCCTTATAATTTTTTTTTGAGAAAAAGGAGGGTGTATTTTCTTTTATAACAAAAGTAATCGTTCACTCGCCTGTAATTTACAATCGCCCGAAGAGACGCATTTGTTAAATGTTTTTTTATATATATATATATATATATATATATATATATATATATATATATATATGTTGTGGTAGGATCCACCTAATTTGCATAGTGGAGTACCGACCATATAAATATGGTTGGTACCGGGAAGAGAGGAGGGGATTCAAGAGATTCAATCCAGAGACTCTGCCCGACTGCGACTAAGTCAACACATTCTCCAGGAACGGTCTTCCCAAGAATATACAAAAGACTATATGTAAATATTGTGTACACTTTCTTGTTTCAATACATTTTGTTCTAAGTACATTTTCTGTTGTATTATTATTCCATGCATTAGTCAAGTTTCAAAAATATATATATATATATATATATATATATATATATATATATATATATATATATATATATATATATATTGGATTTGCGTTTTTTTTGTAATTTATCGCAGCACAAAATCAGTAATCGGAGAGCGGAGTTCGAATCCCAGTTG